AATGACATATGTTCATTCCGGCAGGGGCGGCGTGTTTTTTGTGTATGGTTATGGTGGAACTGGAAAGACATACTTGTGGAGGACTTTAGCTGCTTGGCTAAGATTGCACGGGCGAATTGTGCTTTGTGTTGCATCAAGTGGAATAACATCTTTCCTATTGCCAGGCGGACGAACTGCACAATATTCTCGATTTGGCATTTCTATTTCTATGCATGAAAATTCATCGTGTGAGATCAATCAGGCTAGCCCTCTTGCTGAGTTGATTATTCGCTCTTCATTGATCATATGGGATGAGGTCCCAATGATGCATAAACATTGTTTTAAAGCTGTTCAAGCATCTTTTAAACAGTAATGGGAGCCCTCGACCCGACAAATTATCATAAACTGTTCGGAGGCAAGACTGTTGTGTTTGGTGGAGACTTTCTACAAATTCTTCTGGTAGTTCCAAAGGGTAGTCGTCAGGAGATTGTTAATGATGCTATTAATTCTTCTAGCATTTAGGGAGAATGTACTGTGCTTAGGCTTACAAAGAATATGCGTCTTCAGAGCATTGGCGATTCGAATGAACATGACGAGTTGGCCGCTTTTGCTGATTGGATAGCGAGCATTGGAGATGGAACATTGAGGGGTAAAAATGATGGATGTTCTCTGATAGACATACCAAATGATCTATTACTAGAGCCATCCGATGATCCAGTTGTAAAAATTGTTGAAAGCACATTTCCGATGTTCAAGAATGCAACCGACGATCCAAGTTACTTGAAGGATAGAGCTATACTTGCGCCAACACTCGATATCGTAGAATCTATTAATGAATACATGTCGTCGTTAAATTTGACTGAGGGACGCACGTATTTAAGTTCATACAGTACGTGTAAATCCGACTCCAATACCGACTTTGTGGCACAAGTCCATACTCCTGAGTTCTTGAACACTATCAAGTGTTCTGGAACGCCAAACCATGAATTGAATTTGAAGGTCGGAACTCCAGTTATGTTGTTGCGGATTATGGATCACTCAATGGGACTCTGCAATGGTACACGATTGGTTGTGACTAAACTCTCCAATCATGTTCTCGAGTGTAAAATTCTTACTGGCGATCTTGCATGTGATAAAGTTTTGATACCTCGGATGACAATAACTCCTTCTGATGTTAGAGTACCATTCAAATTTCAAAGAAGGCACTTCTCCATTATGGTTTTTTATGCAATGACTATAAACAAGAGTCAAGGTCAATCATTATCGCATGTTGGCTTATTCTTGAAGAAACCAGTTTTTAGACATGGTCAGTTATATGTCGTTGTCTCCCGTGTTACTAATAGAAAGGGTCTGAAAATTTTAATTTGTGGAGAAGAAGGTTTGAAATAAAATTAAACCAATAATGTTGTGTATAGAGAAGTGTTTAATAATATATGATTTTTGTTTATATTTTGTATTCCTCTATCCTCTTTCTATTGTAATTAAATTATTAATTTATAAAAAAATATTTAAAATAAAGTTTTTAAAAAAAGGTTTGAGTAAATAACCCGCCGTGCTGCGCACGGGTACCATACTAGTTTCCTATTATAGCTATTGAATTGTAAATGTATTTTAAAAGTCGACAACTTTTGTACTTTTTATCCGTTTTACACATATAATATATCAAATTAATCATCTTTTGATGGGCTTCGATTTGACATCCATATTGTATATATAAAATAAATAAATTATATTTATCTTTATAATAATAAAAAAATTATTAAAATTAATTAGAAAAATATAATTATTTCTCAATTGATATATTTTACTTTAAGAGTTTTTTAGGTATCCCACAGCTTCCTTTCTTCCAAAAAAACCCTACGCCCGCA